GCTTCCGTGCTCCGAGCATGGCTCCCTGGGGTTGGAGCTGCTTCTCTCGGTGGGATCCATGCCACCCTTTGACCCTGGCTACTCCTTTCCAGGCGACGCTCTCTCAGTCTGCGGTCAATTTGGATGGCCAACTCTATCAGTTTCTCAAGAGAGTCCGGTAGTCCTACTCGTGCTAATTCGTCTTTTAGAGACTCAGACAGCCCAATGCGGAACTGGTGGACATAATGCCGCATCGTTCCATCTGGTATCTCCCATCCAACGCCTGAAATCAGACGGCGGCCTTGCCGCAGAGGAGTATAGAGTAGCCTCTGCAGAGGCAGCCCGCTGCTGGGGGTCGTCATATAGGACGGCCATGGCCTGAAAGAACTCAGTCACGGAATCGAGATGGGGGTCACGCTTCTCCATCAGGCGGTGAGCGCCCAATCCTGGGGCTCATCCTGAAGGAGAGAGATTATAAACCCCACCTTGACGGTCTCGACGGAAAATGTGCGGGGCTGCAGGTCAAAAAATAAAGTGCAACACGCGTTCCGGAAGGCCCGAAAACGGCTTCGGTCTCCACGGAATCGTTCCGGCAGGGGAACGCGGGGTTCGGGAGCTAGGGGTGCCGCAACTGCTCCGGATGCTGGAGCAGCGGGTGATTCCGCTGTTGCGGAACTTGGAGCAGGGGGAGTCTGGGTGGCAAACGACTCCATGCGGTCCTCAAGCCGGGATGCAGCGGCTGTGAAAAATTCTGGAAGGCCTGGGTCAGAGTTGCCAGGTGCTGGCATATATCCTCTAGGGACGGGCCGGTCCTCTTCCTGGCTCTGTCATGGCCGCAAGGTACTGTTAGAACCCGCCAGGTGGTGCCCCTGGCTGCCCACTTGACAGACCTACCCAAAGCGTGGAGTCTAAGTCCCGGTCTGTGCTTTCACCAGGGCCCCTGATGGTGGGGATGGACTTGAAACAGACCGGGACCAGGTCACGACCTCCGAGCAGGCCCACCAGTGGCAGGGGCAACCTCCGGGGATGTATTGGTACCGGGAGTGGAGAGCAGATGTGAGGAGGACGGCAGGACCTAGCAGGATGGATCACGAGCGGGGGTCCCGTGGGGTAGGCGAGGTACAGAATCGGCAGGCGGAGAGTAGTCAGGTCACACGCAGGGTCAGCAGGATAAGTCAGTCCGTAGAGAGGTCAAAACAAGCCGAGGGTCAGGATGGGAGAAGGCAGAGTAGTCAGGTACAATCCGGGTCAACACAGGAGTAGGCAGCGTAGTCAGGGTCAATCAGGGTCAAAAACACAGGTACAGGACTCAGGAACTCAGTTTAGACCTTGCGGCGATTACTGACAGTGCAGGGCATCTTTAAATATTGCGCCCTGCACTGTCATTGGCCGCTCGGGACGCGCCCCCGGGCTGTCATTGGCCGCCCGAGGCGCGCCCGCGGGTCCCACTGCGCATGCGCGGCATCCTGTCATCCACGGCTCGCCGGGACCTAGTGCCTGTGTCCCGGCGTGAGCCGTCGCCAGTGCGCATGCGACGGCCGACAGGACGCCGCGATCCCTGACAAGATCAACTATTGAACTAAGCCCTAATTGTAAATCATCATCTTTGGCAAATAACAAATCTATACTGGACGAGGGTGCGTTTCCCTACACACCATCTGGCCAATCGATGAATGTAAAATATATAACCTTTATTCAAATATATTAAAAAATGTATGCTCAGCTGTAATTATTGCCTATTGGAGTGGAATGTACTGTGCACAACAATATAACTGTATACCTATTGTGACGGTAGTCACTTTGGGTGGGGGGCCCATGGAACACAGCTCACTTTGCAGAGGTGGGGAGACCCCTGTCTCAGCTCCCCATATCCCTCTTATGTGTAAGTCACCCTGTGCCTGTTAGGGGTGCAGGCTGCTATGTCATAATATTGTAGACATGTATAGGTGGGGTGGGGGAGGTTGTTCATTGTTTAATGCCATGTGGTTGCATCCCATTGTTCTATTGTGTGTCTTGCTTGGGAGCAAACTATTATGGAATGTATGTGTTTGTGTATTGGCTTGGTGGGGGTGTCTGCTGATGTGTCTCTTGTTGCTAGATGTGGTTTGCCCCGCCCTGTGTCATTATGCAGGGAGGGGGGAATTGTTCCCTTGAATGTATATATCTTGTATCTGTGTTAAAATAAAGTAGTCTATTTCCTGATTTATTTCAAGACTGGTCTCGTCTAGTCTCATATGGTCAGCAGTGGAGTCCGTGGACGGTGTTCAGACGGGGAAGTGGTATTATAACGGAAATAAGTGCAGTCGGGGTCCGGTTCCATTACACCTATCTACTTTACATCCAAATGGTTAATAACACCAGACCAAATCAAATACCATACCATTTTAGATGAAGTGACGGCATACAAAGAGGCACTGTAGTTTGGTCATAAGCCTATCAGTTTGAATATATTATCTCTATTAAGGAAATGAAGTTACCCCCATGGACAAAACTAATTAGATAGTATAATCTATCTTGCTACAGTTATGTAATACGGGTATACTCATCCACGGGCTTAAATGTCAGCCTGTCATGGATAAGCCCCATATGTCAGCATGTCCACCAAAAATACCTCACTGTCTTGAGGAATGCAAATGATGCACTGTAAAACGATAGTACAGACCTCTCCAAAAAAAAAGGGGGGGGGGGGGGAGTGGAGTAAATACCACGTGCATTCAAAAAGTGCTCCCAAAGAAAGACCCAAGAAAAAAATAAACTCTACATGTTTCGCTCCAGGAGTATAAAGAATTTAAATAATTTAAATTTTTAAATTTACAGCTGAGCATACATTTTTTTATATATTTGAATAAAGGTTATATATTTTAGATTCATCAATTGGCCAGATGGTGCGTAGGGAAAAGCATTCCTTGTCTACTTCTACTTTCGCATGCGCAATGGGTACCTGGCTGTGAAGCCGCAAGCTGTCACAGCCAGGTGCCCACTCTGAAGATGCTGGCCTCCTGGAATACAGGATGGCCGGTGAAACGAGCTGCGGGGGACACACCATGGGACCGAGGGACCGGCAAGTGGCTGTTTTTTAAAAGTCGGCAACTACAGTTTTTGTAGCTGCTAACTCTTATTTTTTGATAGGTTGAGTGGAACTCGGCTTTAGGCTGAGAAGAGTCCCATTTTATACTGTCATTGAAGGGGTGCCTGTCACCAGCTGTCTGCTGCCATCTAGAGCATCGTTTTGGAATTACCATGCTTGGTTGACCTGTATTAATTTATGGGTCCACAGTAGTAGGTGAGCGTCCATCCATATATATTTTTTAGGTGGAGGAACATTGAGTTAAGGTGGAGCACTGTGTTTTTCAAATAGACTTTATTTATCCGGAGCACATCGTAGTGATTCTTTACCATTCAAGCACCTTATTTGATTTTCACCATTCAAGCACTTTATATGTATATTTATATTTCATATTTTAATTGAACTATCATGTTTGAATCTGTTTATGGACTATTATGTCTATATGAGTTAGCGCAACACTATTTATGTATGTTTTATTACACACATTATTATCATTGATTAATTATCATATACAAATCACTGAAAATTGAAAAATGACTTGAAATGGAATTTGGGATGTAACATGTTGGTATTCATCTGGTTTACACAGTTACATACTATATGAGGCTGGAAGAATGGGAGGATCAGAGAAGTCAGGATCAAACAGCCTTTTTACACAATGCAGCGGATTAACCCCTTGGGTTTCCACAGTGAGTATAACAAGCATGCTTTACTGCATATACAGACTGATTTACTGTTGTGGGTTTAGTAACACTTTAAATTAAAAAATTTCCCATAGCCCTATATATTATGCTGACTGAGGAAGATATCCAAAAAAATGCTTTTTTTATCATGTCAAAATTCTCTGTCATTCAAGATACTACAATTCCAAAAGAAAAGAAGGAAATGCCAAAACTTCATTGAAATAAAGCCTCAAGACTTTTGGCTATGGAAATTTAGTCTACTTTTTCAGGTTTTTCATGACCTTGATTATACAGCTAGAAAATATGCTACATAAGTTGCGCAACACACCTTTCCTGACAAATTTGAATTGTGTCATCGCTGTATGTGCTTTGAGCTAAACTCAAGGCTTGCTGAGACTTGTTAGCATGTACTGATACAAATATGAGATGTTTATCAACACTGCCGCAATGCTTGTGCCTGCTAATGTGACTCATAGGTGAATCTAGCACAATTTTGGATATAAACATAAATAAGTAGCTAAGTAGAATTATAAATTTGGTACAGCATGGAAAGACTACAAAGAGGACTGCAGTGGAGAGGAGCAAATTAAAAGGAAGTAATGGGTATGTATCAATGGCAGAAGTAAAAGCTCCTTTAGCAGAAGAGGTAACACAGCAGACCAGCATCAGGTCAGCGAGGAGCAAGCTCAGGCAGGGTATTGGAGCAGTATAAGCACAGCAAATCTGCCAAGAAAAACAAAAAGGGTCCAAGACATCAAAACAGCCTAATATTTAACCATTAAATTGTCTGAAAAAAAAGAAGACTTTTCAATAAATTTACTCAGTAGGAAGTGACGCACTAGACCAGGGGTGTCAAACTGGCGACCCTCCAGCTGTTGCAAAACTACAAGTCCCATCATGCCTCTGCCTTTGGGAGTCATGCTTGTACCTGTAAGTCTTGCAATGCCTCATGGGACTTGTAGTTTTTGGCAACAGCTGGAGGGCCACCAGTTTAAAACCCATGTACTAGACCAGTGGTTCTCAACCTTTCTAGCGCCGCGACCCCTTAATACAGTTCCTCATGTTGTGGTGACCCCCAACCATAAAATTATTTTCGTTGCTACTTCATTAACTGTAATTTTGCAGTAGGAGGAATAGTGCCACGTCATTGGTGTCATTGGGAGGAATAGTGCCCCATCATTGGTATCAGTGGGAGGAATAGTGCCCCGTCATTGGTGTCAGTGGGAGGAATAGTGCCCCATCATTGGTGTCAGTGGGAGGAATAGTGCCCCCTTCATTGGTGTCAGTGGGAGGAATCGTGCCCCGTCATTGGTGTCAGTGGGAGGAATAGTGCCCCGTCATTGGTGTCAGTGGGAGGAATAGTGCTCCATCATCGGTGTCAGTGGGAGGAATAGTGCCCCATCATCGGTGTCAGTGGGAGGAATAGTGCCCCATCATCGGTGTCAGTGGGAGGAATAGTGCCTCATCATCGGTATCAGTGGGAGGAATAGTGTCCCATCATCGGTATCAGTGGGAAAGAATAGTGCCCCATCATAGGTGTCAGTGGGAGGAGGAATAGTGCCCCATCATAGGTGTCAGTGGGGAGGAGGAATAGTGCCCCATCATTGGTGTCAGTGGGGGGAGGAATAGTGCCCCATCATAGGTGTCAGTGGGAGGAGGATAGTGCCTCATCATTGGTATCAGTGGGAGGAATAGTGCCCCATCATTGGTATCAGTGGGAGGAATAGTGCCCCATCATTGGTATCAGTGGGAGGAATAGTGCCCCATCATTGGTGTCAGTGGGAGGAATAGTGCCCCCGTCATTGGTATCAGTGGGAGGAGGAATAGTGCCCCGTCATTGGTATCAGTGGGAGGAATAGTGCCCCGTCATTGGTATCAGTGGGAGGAATTAGTGCCCCGTCATTGGTGTCAGTGGGAGGAATAGTGCCTCGTCATCGGTGTCAGTGGGAGGAATAGTGCCTCGTCATCGGTATCAGTGTGAGGAATAGTGCCCCGTCATCGGTATCAGTGGAAGGAATAGTGCCCCATCATCGGTGTCAGTGGGAGGAATAGTGCCCCATCATCGGTATCAGTGGGAGGAATAGTGCCCCATCATCGGTATCAGTGGGAGGAATAGTGCCCCATCATTGGTATCAGTGGGAGGAATAGTGCCCATCATTGGTATCAGTGGGAGGAATAGTGCCCCATCATTGGTATCAGTGGGAGGAATAGTGCCCCATCATTGGTGTCAGTGGGAGGAATAGTGCCCCATCATTGGTGTCAGTGGGAGGAGGAATAGTGCCCCATCATTGGTGTCAGTGGGGGGAGGAATAGTGCCCCATCATAGGTGTCAGTGGGGGGAATAGTGCCCCATCATTGGTGTCAGTGGGGGGAATAGTGCCCCATCATAGGTGTCAGTGGGGGGAATAGTGCCCCATCATAGGTGTCAGTGGGGGGAGGAATAGTGCCCCATCCTTGGTGTCAGTGGGGGGAGGAATAGTGCCCCATCCTTGGTGTCAGTGGGGGGAGGAATAGTGCCCCATCCTTGGTGTCAGTGGGGGGAGGAATAGTGCCCCATCCTTGGTGTCAGTGGGGGGAGGAATAGTGCCCCATCCTTGGTGTCAGTGGGGGAGGAATAGTGCCCCATCGTTGGTGTCATTTGGGGGAGGAATAGTGCCCCATCGTTGGTGTCAGTGGGAGGAATAGTGCCCCATCATTGGTGTCAGTGGGAGGAATAGTGTCCCATCGTTGGTGTCAGTGGGAGGAATAGTGCCCCATCATTGGTATTAGTGACACCAATGATGGGGCACTATTCCCACTGACACCAATGATACTTACCTTGCAGACCCCTGCTCCAGCCTGGGCTCGCTCGCTCCCTCCCTCTCCCATGGTACCGACACTTACATGTCAGATGTCTTCCTTCTCCGGCCGCTCTCCTCCTCTTCACTCGCTCGATCTTCGCTGTGCCGCTCGGCTCCTCCTCTCCAAGCTCCACCTCCTTGCCGGTGATTGGCCGCCTGTTGCCTCTCCTGAGCTACAGTGCCGGCGGCCAATCACAGGCGAGGATTGATCTCGAGGTGTGTCCAGATGACAGGGGCGGCATGTCATCCCGCCCACACCTGGAGACGGCGGTGGCGGCGGCGAGGAGCGGTGTCTCGGTTCCTAAGACCATCGGAAATATGTGTTTTCCGATGGTCTTAGGCGACCCCTGTGGAAGCGTCGTTCGACCCCCAAAGGGGTCGCGACCCCCAGGTTGAGAACCGCTGTACTAGACTCTTTCAGAGTAAAATAACATTAAAGTGGTTGTAAACCTCAGTCATGAAATCTGAACAGAGCACAGCTATCTGTAGTGTTTACTTGTCTCTTTCCAAAGCTCTAAAGCAGGGTTTCTCAACCAGGGTTCCTCCAGAGGTTGCCAGGGGTTCCATGAGCAATCAGCAATTATTGCGTCTCAGGTAAGTTCCCACTGACACCATTGATCTTTTTAGCAATCTGTAAGGGGGTAATTCTTCCCAATGACCACAAGTGTAAGGAACATTCTTACCTCTGACTATCACACTAATGTATCATGAATTGTAGATCTAGTCATTTTTAGCCCTGAGACCAGAAAGTAATGTCAAGGGTTTCTCCCCGTTGAAAAGGTTGAGAAAAGCTGCTCTAAAGCCTGGTACACACAATGAGAATATCGGACAAATTATTGGCCGTATTTTTTTGGATGCTAGTCTCATACCAAAAATTAAGAGGTTACTAAAGTTACAAAAATTCTCGTACAACAGAATACAACTTTGGAAGTGATGTAATGTGTCGTATTGTATTGTAATGTTTTCTTTCTGTTCTGAGTTTTACTTTTCCGATTTGTTTCAGACGAATACTGAACTGATTAAACGAAAATCGCACGGTCTGGTATTGTACAGAAAAAAAAGTGCGTTTGTCCCTTTGAATAAGTTTGGATAAAAGCTGTGTACTGACAATCAAATTATCATACGATTCCTTAGAAAACTGTATTTTTCGTCCAATTTTCTTTTCTGCTCGTGAGCACTAGGCTTAAGTATCATTTCTCTCTGGTGCTTCTTTCTTTTCTGAGTTTTACTTTTCAGATTTGTTTCAGATGAATATTGTACTGAGTAAACGAAAATTGTATGGTCTGGTATTGTACAAAAAAAAAAATTTGTGTTTGTCCCTTTGAATAATTTCGGATGAACACTGTGTACTGACGATCAGATTATCGTACGATTGCTTCAAAAACTGTATTTTTCTCAGAGTTTCTGATCATGAGTTCTAGGCTTAAGTATTGTTTCTCTCTGGTGCTTCGTTCCTCTGTTATCAGCATGTGTCACTTCTGAAACGTTTCCCCAACACATGAGATAAATTTGTGACAGACAGCTTGTCTGTTCAGAACATAGCTCTTGTGTGCTGTGTGGAGGGCAGAGCCGCTGCTTCCACTAGGCAAACTAGGCAGCCTCTGCAACTGCCAGCCACAGATTCAGTCCATCGCTGACACTGATTTTGTCTTTAATATTGGTGCTGGTGACATCTTATGGCACTTACTTTTGCAAATAAAAAGATATTTAGTAGTTTTATTGATTTAATATTTTCTACTGTTTTTTGTTTTTAATATTTATTTATTTATTGGGGGGGGGTAGTCTAGCACCGCCTCTGGGGGAGGGATGTGTGTCCCTTTCCTCCAATTAGCTCTAACTGCAGCTCCCTGCCCCCTCCTCTGTGATACTGAGAAATGAAGAAGGATTTTACCTAAAATCAGTACTTTTAAAGGGATGCAAAAAAGAGAAGATGGCAAGTAAACAAGTAAAGCTTTGAGGATTTGTTTCACCTCTGTGTATCATCGTAGGCTTTTCACTTCACTGGGTACAGTATATGAGACGGTTTACAACCATTTAAGTTGAAAGTGTACTATACAGGTCTTTACTCCATTTTCAATGGCACCCAAACACACTTACCCAATGCAACTCTGACCCACATATTGTCGTACAACAATACGCCATGGCACTGAAGTGGTTATATTCTAATTCTCATTTTTTTCTGAATGACTGAGCCCTTGGTTTTTCTGATTTCTGGTCTATGTTTGTGGAGAAATGACCTCTTAAGCCTCACACACAATGAGAATATCAGATGAATGATCATCTGTTTTCATATCGAACATGAAGAGGTTACTAAAGTTACAAAAATTCTCGTGCAACAGAATACAACTTTGGAAGTGAAATAATGCATTGTATTGTAATGTATTCTTTTGTTTCTGAGCATGCTTGGTCTTGGTCATCTGATTAGGATATGGTCAGGGAGGGTTATTAGCACAGCAGGGGGCAATTACAGCCAGCTGATAGCTGGCTTCTTCTCCTCTCCCGTTGGCTTTCAGCTGCATTAGAGAGAGCCATACAGGGGATCGGTTTCACTAGTTGCCCAACAACCCCAACCACACCTATCACCCAATGGGGAAAGAACAAAAAGAGGGCGCACAGGCCTAGTGCATTACCATAAAAAATGTAGTAGGTGTTGTACTCACAAACGACAATATAGTCAAGGCACAATCATAGAAGAACAGCTGGATCTGAGTCATCCCTGACGCGTTTCGCTTCCTCAGAGCCACTATCACCTATCACCCACCCTGTGCACAATACACTTCCCCTGCCGCCCCCCTCACCCTTGCAATGCGGCTGGCTTCCATCCACTCCTTCCCACCAGCACTGCAATACACTTCAAGCTGCAACAGGATCCTTAAGGATGGAGAATGGAGGAAGGGTTCGGCAAATGTATCACATTTACCAGCCCCTTCCTTTCCTGAATGAACACAATGAGTGATCGGTACCCAATGAGTGATCGATGTTCATTCAGAACTGAAGCATAGTAAACTGTGTTTTTTTTGTTGGGGAAGGGGACCCTGTCAGTTTGGCTGTATAGGGCCCCACGGTTTCTAACAGCAGCCCTGATTGTGTTATGCCACACACTGCAAAGTTACAGTCTTGTCCTGCACTACAGATCACTGAGAATCTTGCTCTAGTTTGATCTGCAGAAGGCAAAGCAAGGGATGACAGATAGGGCAGCCTATGTGGAAGTGACCAATCTCTATTTCCTGGTGACAACTCTTTGCCACTGGGAGGAGAGGCTGTGCACCATGTGGCAATGTAGTCCAGTGGCAGATACAAAGTCTAAAGGGTGACAACGCTGTGGAGGCAGCATACAGTGTTGTCAGCCTTACATAGCAGATGCAGTTTCCTGAATTTTACTGGCAGGATTAACAGGTAGGTTTAGCAGCACAGCAATGGATAAAATAGAAAGCACCATGCTACATAAAGCTGCAGTGCTTTCTATATTACATTGTTTGGTTTTAGATTTAGGCCATAAGGGGAATTCACTTTATGTGTGATCGGTGCAATGCATTTTACAACATTGTACTTTTTATTAGACATTCATTATGAGGTTTAACGAAGGCTGTAAACAATGAATTAAGAAATGTTGGCAGGATTAAGGCTGAGGATATGTGAAACAGGTCATGTAGAATAGTCATCTGAATGCTGCATATATGACATGACCCTACACGCCTGTACGTTTGCTGACTCCTATCCTTCTCTTTCAGTAGCACACATGTCTCTGTACAACCGCAATCCAGCCCAGGATAAACTCTCTGTCTGGAGGCTGGCAACGAACTCTAAGCAGGAAATGAGAACCAGTCAGGTTGTTAAGTATTCGCTGTTTGTGTCCTGCTATATTTTTTGGGTGAGTACACAACTTTATTTCTAACACACCTAACAACTTAACTAGCTGTTTAGTTCTGGGGTGAGGGATAATGTGATTTCCATTGATGGGTAAGGAAATGGTATTAGAGGGGGTGACCACAGATGTTAGGGAGCCAAGGGACAACCTTACTGTTGAAAGATTTTTTTTCATAGATTCCTGCACAAAAATGCTTACGAAAATGGTTTTCTGTTTCTTTTTATGTGGATGGAGATGTGAAGTACAGTAATACACCTTTAGCACTGTCTGCAAGTATGGCTGAAATGAACAACACGACCTGTAACTATTTCTCTCAAGATTGCTTATCCAAGGGTGTCTGGCAAAATGGCTTATCAGTCAACTATCATCTCTCTATGGTTACTTTTCCTGTATATGACACTCAATATACATACTGTACTTCCTAACTCCACATGACTGGCTCCTTTACTACATATTACTCATGTTTAGTAGTATTTGCATAGCATTACGCAGTATTTCTGAAAGTGAGCTTTTTATTTATAAAAGAAGATGCAGAAAAATTAATATGTATATTACCATGCTAATCACTATAAGTACTGTTTAATAAATATTCTATCAGTGACACTGGTATAATAAAAAATGAACTATGTAGTAATAATTCCCATTAATGGAATAGTAACAAGATTGCAGCAGCAGATATTTACAATGAAGTTCCTGTCCATGGGCTGTGGTTCTACCCTTTGTCACTGCAGGAACTGCAGTGCATGTTTGGAGACACAAATATCCAACAATCCCATAAGCGTTGAATACTGTACAGTAGAGATGAAGTTCAAGTTCATTCCTACCCTAAGTGGTTCTAAAGGCAAATGGTTTTCTACCTTAATGCATTTGTATTAATGTAAAAAACC